ATGAAGGTTCAAAGCTTCTTTGATATTCCAAATAAGGTAATGCATTTAAATTCCGCTTTTCTTTTGATGAAATTTCTGCAATTACTTTCAAAACGCCACATTATGTATGTATTATCATTGCTTGTCCTGTACATTTGTCTGCATGAATAATAATTCTTTCTTCTCCAAGACCATGATAATTAAAAATTCGATCAATTCTTCAACTAAAATCTCGATAGAAACCCTCTATGGTTATCTTGTAGATTATCAACAAAAACCACAACTTTGTTCTCGGATTTTCTTTGTCGTAGCGACTTCGTTATATTGATGCATTGAACCTTCCATTCCATATGTATGTATGTCTTTGTCTTTATTTTTCATTGTGACCGACCCATATTGAGTGATATGCTATAAGAATTGGGAAAATCAAGAAGTTCAAGGTGAGAATCAATTACTATTGAATTATAATAACAAAATATTATGTACAATATTTGCAAGAGACGCGAAATTTTCCACAGGCTAACAAGGTTTTATACCTTCCCAAATAAAACCAGTTGACCTTTTCCTTTATTTTTTATTTAATAATAAATTTCAAATCAACTTACTTTTCGGGAAATATTGTCATTTTTCCACCAGTTCTTCCATCTTCTGAAAGCTAGAATTAGTGGAATTTTAGAGACATTATAAGAGTCTCCTGAGCTTTAAAGGGTCACGCACTTCATTGATTTATGATGACCATCGGTATATGAGTAACTTGTCTTTTATTTGATTTATAGTATCCTCGGGCATGAAAATTTTCTGTCCCTTGATAATATAAATTGTTGTAACACGAATGAGCTTTGACTTAAAACTTCATGAATATTGACACGTTCATGATCGGTAAATTGATTGTATCACCTTGAACCCCTGAAAATTCTTGTGGCGTGCAGGATACCCCATTATTTTTTTTTACGATTCACATAAAAATGAAATTTCTTTAAGCCCGCTTATTTTTGTTTGTGATACATTTTACAAATATGGAATTCAATTTTTTTTTTATATATATAAATATTATAGAGTTTTTCCTTTGCAGGATTCTTTTTTTTTTTTTTTTTCTCTTGATAATCTTTTTAAAAAAAAATATCGGAAGGAATTTTTTTCGGATGTTTATTATTAATAATTAATATATTAATTAATTTAATTAACCTTAATTTTCAAAAGAAAAAAGATTTCATTTGATGGTAAAAGTAAAATAAGCAAATCATTTATTTTTTTTTTTTTTAAAAAAATAGATTATTTATTTTAAGGAAATTTAAAATATTACATAAATATATACATATATAAATAAATAATCCAAAGTCACTTGATAAATAGATAAACACGGTTAATTCAAATCAAAAATAATATTCAAGGTACATTAAAGTCATTGATTCATGTGATCTTATATATAAGTAATTAAACTTTTTTTTTTTTTGATAAAAAATTTTTATTAGATTTAATAAAGAAATTCCTAAATCTCATCGAAAATCCTATCAGAGATCCAACAACATGAGTCCAACTAAAGTATTGAAAAATTTAAGCATTGAACTAATATTTAGTCCGCCACCGAATAATAACCCAATCACTTTAACAATAGTGATTAAAAAAGGTCAATTGTTGTTAGACGTTGTAAGGCATTTTATGATGGAAAATAATATACCGTGTTATTTGGAAGTGTCAACTTTATCCACTATTGAAGCTTTAATGATGGCAAGTTTGCGTAAAGATATGGAAAAAGACGTTGAAAGTATGTATTAATTAAGGAAGTGGAGGTGAGGTGGGAGTTTTAGAATGAATTCTTGATAATTTAATTTAATTTAATTTATTTATTTATTTATTTAAAAAATATCGTAGTCAATGAAACAAAGGCATATAAGATTCGATCCGAACTTGTAGCAAAATACCAAAGGCACACGATTCGCTATAACGATGCTCCAGCCGAAGTAAGTTCTCATTTAAAAGTGTTTCCTTTTTTTTTCTTTTCTTTTATTTACTTTAACAAGCATCTTTCTCTCTTTCTCTAATTCCAATACGATTTTAATTTTTTCAAGGATATATTTCCTAAAGCTTATCATACATTAGTTCATTCTCCAGTTTCATCAATATTTGATACATTTTTACAATTAGAAAGCATTTATAAACAAGCGATAAAAGATTTAATTAATGCAAGGGACAGAGAAATGTCGCTCATTAATGATCGACATAAAGTAGAAGTTGATGATTTTGAAGAATCTGGCGGTCAAGCTGATGGTGGACTAACCAAAGTAATAGAAAGACAAGTTGAGGTATCTTTAAAAAAAAAAAAAAAAAAAAAGAATTTATTCTTTATTATTTTTTTTGGTTTATTTTTTTTTTCCTGATTCCGATTAAATTTTTAAGGAAATTGAATTTCTTCAAGCAACTTCGACATCAGCATTAGAAGAAATTCAAAGATCACAGAAACAAGAGTATTGTAATTTTGTGTTAAGATTACATGAAGCACATCAACGATTGTTGTCAGAACAACAACAAACCATTAGATTAGATGGTAGAGAGATTGTATTAGAGGTTTTAAATGAAATGAAAAATAAATGTAACTTATCAAATGAATTATTAAGATTAGATAATCAATATACAAATGGTAGCAAATCTGCTAGTAGGAGTAGACATGGAAGTATTAGTAGTTTGGCAGAAGTTATGTCTCCATCTCCTTTAATATCTCCTCCTTCTTCTATGCCATCATCCAGCAATGTTGACGAAAAGTTAATTGTTAATGGCAATATCAATGTAGGTTTGATTTCATTTTGACCGAATTTCGAATCAAACCTTATTAAAACTTAAAATTTTGTTTGTAGGAAGATATTATTAAGATCAAAGAAATGGGCTTCACCGATGAACAATCTAAAGTAGCTCTCGAGATGGCCAACGGCAACATGGTACTTTTAAATGATCTCGTATTTTATTATATCTTTCTCATTTAATTTCTTTCGTCTTCTGATTTGATCCTTTGTTTCACGTAGCAAGAAGCAATTATGTTATTACTAGATAACAAGAAGAAAGTAGATGCGATAATAGCAAATGGAAGTGCGTTAAATTCAATTCCGATTCCACGGCGTCCTTCAATGGTTAGTCAATCACAACAATTATCACCCCCTCCGCATCGTCGTTCAAAGTCACATAGTAAACAATTGCAGTTGGCGATTCAGAAACAAGAAAAAAAAGGAACTTGGTCGCCAATTACATTCCTTCAACAACAGAAAAATAATATGATGACCTCCCAAAATAATTCATCTGTTAGAAAATTAGGTGGATGGATTAATAAGGCTATGGAAAATTTTGGATTTGAAGAAGAGAATGGAAATGGGAATCATATGCAATTAGAAGATCCTCGTTTAGTTGAATCGTTTACTATATCACTCGGTAATCAAGTTAAGGTTACTCATAATCTTAGATTATTGGTTTCGGATATGGATGATTTGCTTAAATCTTCTAATGATATTGCTCGTGATATGGCTTATAGAGCTCAAACTGCTGCTAGTTTATACTCTCAAGATTTAACTGCAATCATTTTATTATTAACCCCAAAAGATTGGCCATTGTATAAGTTGGGAAAAAGTGCTAACAAAGGATTTTTCGAGAGATGTAAGGAATCTACAGAGTTTCACTTTAATAATGTTGAGACTCAATTAGAAGCCATTGAAAATGATTATTCGCTCGATGGAACTTCTTTGCAAGAAGGTATGCTTGCTCATTTTCTTCTCACATTAAGAGAATTGCTATTAATATTTTATATCTTTCCGACAGGTGACTTCTTTATCACGCGACATTCCAATCTACCTTTGGTCCATGTCGTATTTCACTTGGTGATTGATTTTGAATGTAAGTATTTAAAATTTTTGATAGCGAATATATATATATATATATATTTTACTTCAACCGATTCGAACCTATCTTTTTTTTAAAAAATATATAAAATCTCTCCCCTCTGATATCATAACTTAGCAATCCAAAAATCCGAATTAACGCACCGTTCGCGTGTAATATCCGGATTACGCAATATATTGAGAACAGTAAACAGATTTGATATCTCAAAAATATCGCTACCGTTCTTACTATTACCATCACATGTTGATGTGTTTTCTGATCAAAATTTAGAAAAAGTACTTTATCGCAGGGGTGAATTGGTATTAAAATGTACCAAAGGTTTTATGATTGAAAATAGTAGATTACCAAAACATGTTACAGAGAAGGAGAATGATACCAAGACCGTTTCATTTCTGTTACCAAAGACCGCCAATGAACAACAATTTCATGATTTTAGACATTTGTTAACAAGTACTTTCGGGGCAAGTTAAAAGTTCAAATTGGAGGAGAATAAATAGATTAAAGAGAGTGTGTTATCAAGAGAAAAGAATGTAATATTAAAAAATAATTATTTGGCAAATCTTTTAAATTTAACTTATATTTTATTATTTATTTTTATCCTTAAATGTATATAAATTATTTTTTCAGATATGAATAATGACTATTAGATTGTGAAAGATAGGAGAATGGTATTAAATCATAATAAGATAGATAGAGAATATATATTTTTTTATCAAAATGAAGATTAGTAAATATTAATTTATGGGAGGAAATACGTGTAAGGGAAATCACTAAAGGAAAAAGTGTATTGCATATATTTGATCAATGGGGTAAGTTCGGTATTTTTGAAAACAAAAAGCATGGCTTGCATTATAAATTTATGTCGTTAATATGTATAAATATGTATCTAAATAAAGATTATATTATTCGGAATGTTTAAATTCACCTCGATATAGAAACTTGTTTTCTTAACAATATATTGCACATTATGGGAATCCGAAAATTTTATTGATTTTTTAATATAATCATTCAAATTTAGATAACTTAATCGAATTGAAATTATAATCATTTCGAGTTTTTACATTTTAACCTTTTTATCCTCATTATTATTATTATGAATCAAATATAGCATGATAAACTAGTTATCAAAGTTTTTTCCTTTAAAGATCACTAATGTTTGGTTTTTCCTCAATAGGTTTCATGGCAGGGAAAAGTAAGACTTCCTTAATATTTGAACTATCAGTCAAGAACATAGTAAGTCGATCTATACCCATTCCCCAGCCTCCACTAAAATATTCAAATTCAAAAATTAGAATCTCTAAAAAATTATTATTGTTTTTTTTTTTGAAGATATACTTACGTCGGAGGCAAACCATATTCCAGACTTGTACAGAATGTCTCATCAATAAGCTGAGCTTCATCATCACCTTGTTCTTTTTGACGCGCTTGTTCTTCAAATCTTTCACGCTGATCAAAAGGATCATTTAATTCTGTATAAGCATTACAGACTTCCTTGGTGGCTACAAATAATTCAAACCGTTCACATAATCCTTTAATGTCCCTATGTGCCTTAGCCAATGGTGACATCATTTGTGGATGCCCGATAATAAATGCCGGTGATACGCAATCAACTTCAATAAATTCGCCTACAAGCTACGATTAGGAAAGGAATCAATAGGATTAAAAAAATGAGTTTGAAAAAAAAAAAAATTGAAATTAAAAAAAAATGAAATTCATTATTCACTTTGTCTAGTAATCGTGTACAGGTTCTTGGAGGAGGACATTCTATTTGATTTTTCTCACAAAGTTCTCCAAGAAATTTGGCAGTCTCCTCTGTATGTAATTCAGATGCTGGTGGAAATTTGACACCTAATTTTTCTTCCAAAGCTTCAATCATGTTAATTCTCTTGAATGGTGGAGTAAAATCTATATTCATAGCTTCTCCTTCAGGTCCATGAGGATGATAAACAACCTTATAATCTCCTGTGATACTTTTAACCATACTTGACAGCATCTTTTCAGTAATTTCCATCAAATCATACATATCCGCGTATGCCATATAAAATTCGACCGTAGTAAATTCAGGGTTATGTGTAAGATCAATGGATTCATTACGGAATTGTCTACCGATTTCATATACACGATCCAATCCACCGACCACAAGCATCTTTAGGTATAATTCTGGTGCGACTCTCATAAATAGATCAAGTTTGAGATCATTATGATGAGTGATAAATGGTTTAGCAGTAGCTCCACCAGCGATCATATTCATCATTGGAGTTTCGACCTAAAATATAAATAAAATTAAATAACCGATCTTTTTTTCCTTTTGTTTTTTTAAAAAAAAAATTGATTTTGAATTATCACCTCAAGGAACTCAAGATCATCCAAAAATTTTCTAACATAGTTTACAATTTTAGCTCTAATAATAAACTTATCTCGAACATTATTATTCATAATCAAATCAAGATAACGTTGACGAAAACGTGTCTCCTGATCCTTAAGCCCATAATGCGCTTTAGGCAACATATGCAAACAAGGTGAAAGAAGAATAACATCTTTGGGAAAGATTGATAATTCACCACGTTTGGATTTGCCTGGACATCCACGGACTCCTACAATATCTCCACGTCGAAGTAAATCATGAACTTCAAAAAAGTCACGTTCAGAATCTCTATAATATCATTAAGAAAAAATGTATATAAATTCAATAAGATAAAATTGTTTCATATAATTAAAAGAACGAATTAATTACTGTGCTTGAGCCATGATTTGGATCTTGACGCCATCTCCATGTAAATCATAAAATCTTAGTTTGGCACTACTGGTCCTTTTGTTATGAATTCTACCGGCAATCTGAATAACCTCATCTAAATGTTGACCAGGTTCAAGTTTACCATATTTTTCAATGAATTCTGGAATGGAAAGCTCCACATGAAATTTATGTGGATAGGGATTAGGTTGACGTGATTCTCGAAGTTTAAGAACATGCTTGGATCTAATTTCAAAATATTGCTATGTAAATTCAAAAATCCTGTTAAATCTTTGTCAAAGTTAAATCGATTTGAAAACGTGAAATTAACAAATCAGATTACTATCTTTCATATAACCTACATTAGGGTTTAAATTTTCTTCAGATTCCTCGGAATTTTCGGTTTTTTCGGGTTTTTCTGCAGTTGAAGTAGCTGCAGCCTTAGAAGCCTGTATCGATCAATTAAATTACATCTCTTTTAGTACATCAAAAAACAATCAAAAATAAATCGATTAATCGAATCTATACCTTCTTTGCTTCTTTTTCCCGTTGCTTAATGCGTCTTTTCAATTCACTATAACAATTATAAATAAATTAATTCATTCATAATAGGAATCGAGTGAATCAATCTTTTTTTTTTTCTTTTTTACATACTTCTTGGACACTTTCTCCCCTGTCACTTCATCTAAAAGAAGATTCTCCTCTTTGGTGCTCATTGTGATAATTAATTTCCTTCATAGATTAATATAATTTTTAATCTTATCATCGATGTTAAAAGAAAGTGGGATATTGATACTTACCTTTAATTTTACGTTATAATTACAAAAACGCGCAGCAAAAAATTAATTTTTTTTTAAATATATATAAAAAAAAAAAATTAAATAGCAGATGTAACTAAATTTTTGATCAATTTATACTTGTCGATTGTGATACAGTATGTCTCAAATGGTATTTGATGAATTGAGTCACAATGAAACATTTTTTTTTTTTTTTAAAAAAAAAAAAAATAAACAAAAAGATCGATCGATAGTGAATTTCTATCTATGAACGGGGGGAGACTTTGAAGAAACTTTATTTAATTTATTTATCAATATATAATGCTTGCCGACATTTTTTTTGAGCAACGCCCTTGCCCATGTCAAGTTTAAATTTGAAAACATTATTGAAATTTATATGTGAAGAAAAAAAACCCTATATACTAATTATAACAATAATCAAATTGTTTATCACGGAATGATGGAAAAGGAAGAATTTAGGTTCATTATGAAAGATTCCGTTCCATAATTGTTTTTCTTGATTTATCTTTTAGTTATTTCTCGAGATATTGGTGACACACCAAAACGAGCTTAAAACTGGTTTTGTTATAGGCTTAGAATTTGTGTAATTAGACTGAACATCACAATCTATAATTTTCATTTTTCAACAATGAGATCCAATTTAGCAGAAAATGAAAATACAGCGGAAAATTTAAAGTTTGCATTAGATAATCCTTTGTTTAGTGATATAAAGCTAAAAGGAAACGACGGAGAAGAAATAAATGCTCATCGAATAATATTAGTGGCACGTTCAGAGGTGTTTAGGCTCATGTTATTGAATGAAATGAAAGAATCCACGCAAAATGTGATAGAATTTCCAGAGTTTTCCTCGAAAACTTTACACGTTATTCTTGAATATTTATATACCGGGAAAGTGACCGAGAAGACGTTGAAGATAGAAATCATTGCTAAAGCTTTTCATAGTGCTGATTATTTTTTACTTGATCAACTAAAACTTCAAATTACTGAGTTTGTTCTACATGATATAAAGAACAAGGAAAATAAGATAAATATTTCAGCCAGGATCCTATCTCAACTTTTGGAATGTATGGATAATGTTAATAATGATTTAGTTGATACACTTTACAATATCATTAATTCTGCTCCATTAAAATCTATTGAATATTGTAATTTAAACGATAAAGCGTTGAATTGTGTTTTATCAAAGAACAAAAAGGAAGAGAATAATCTTGAATATGAATTATTATATTACATCATATTATGGGCTGCGAATAAAATCTCGGAAGAAGCTTTATTATTTTATAAGTCATATTTACCTTCTCCAGAAATTATTGAAATATTTATCACTACACACGTGAAAGGGTGGAACGGTAGTTTCCTATCTAACCCGGAAGAATCTCATGCTAAATACCGGTCAACAATGTTATCAATGACTTCATCTTTACTTAAATATGTGGATTTAGGACAGATTCATCCATCGGTTATTTCCGAAATAATTGAACCTCTTGACGGTATAATTGATTCAGATATGTTACTAGATACATATCGGAAAAAAGCTTTATTAGCTGAAACGTATCTTAATATATTGAAGAATGTTGCTTCATTTCAATGGGATGGTCGCGCGCGTGGTAATAAAATGCGATTTGATAAAAGTCCTTTTATTGCTTTTACGTATTCCTCATCACATGAATGGATTAGAACATCATTACCAATTATCGAAGGTTTATTGGAATGGAATATTGTGGTTGAGGAAATTTGTAGTTATTTTTGGGTTGGAATTTGTACAGAAAATGGATTTGACGTGGATTACAACTCATGGCTTGGAAAGCAAGCATACGGATGGGTTCTGGGTTCGAATGGAATAATCTGTCATGATACGCAGCAAGAGAATGGACCTTATACAGATAAATATGGAGAGGAATTTGGTAAAGGTTCTAAAATCACTGTGCATTTAGATATGATTGAAAGAACTTGCTCTTTTTCAATAAATGGAAAAAGATATCCTGTAGCCTTTAGGAATTTACCTGATGTAGTTTATCCTGCAGTATCTTTAAACGCACCTGGAAGGGCGAAGATTCAATGTGCTTGAGAAATGCGCTCGTTTTTCAAATAAAAAAAAAAAAAATTTTTTTTTATTTTCAAATTAGGTAAACATTTTTTTTTATCTGATACGTGATTATAAATTTTAGCCTTTCTCAATTTATTTTGGATTGAAATTTGTCTTTTACATCTTCATTTTGAATGTAATTTCTCCTAAAAGCTTATATTCAACGGTTTTAATTCATATCTACATTTATTGTCCGGAGCGAAGCGTAGGACATTATAATATGTAAATAAAAGATGCATACAAATTGTTTAACATGAGAAATTTTTGATACTTTTTATTATAGATGTGTGACACCCTGCATTTGTGCGGGAGCGTAAACAAATAAAACCTTAAAATCTATATAAAGAACATTTATAAATCGCGCTTTCAACAATAAAATTTGGTTTAATTAAAATTGTATTTTGTATTTGTATGTTACTATAACGAACCAAAAACGAAAATTTTTTGTGATATTATAGAATCTCCCTCCCAATAATGAAATCTAATTTCGACAGAAAATATTACAAAAAATTATTAAAATTTGCATTAGACAATCTTTTATTTGGTGATTTAAGGATAAAAGGAAACGACTTATATGCTCAGCAAGTGATATTAGTCGCAAGTTCAGAATTGTTAAGGCGTATGTTATTGAATTAAATGAGAGAATCCACACAAATGTGATGGAATTTTGCTTACCAGAAATTATTGAAAAATTTATCACTACATACGCGAAAGAGTGGGACGTTAATTTCTTACTTAATTAAATGGATTTAGAACAATTTCATTAGTTGAATATACTGTAGAAACAAGATTTTTATTAGTGAAAAGTAATCATGAGAGTCATGAATGGGTTATTGTGGTTGAAAAAAATTTATTTGGTTTGGAATTTGTACTTTGGAAACCATTCATAAATCTTATGGGATTTGGATAAGGTTTTATCGCGCACAAAATTTACGCGTCAACAACGTCTCAATTATGCAATCCAATTCAACGATAGATATTACAACTGATTCTTTTTTGGACAATTTAAAATTTGCATTAGAAAACATCTTATATAGTGATGTAAAAATAAAAAGGAAACAATGGAAATGCTCATCGTGTAATGTTGACACGTTCAGGTTATTTAAATTGAATGAAGAATCCACGCCGAATGTGATAGAAACTTTACACGTTATTCTTGAATATTTATTTATATACCGGGAAAGTAACAGAGACGACGTTGAAGGTTGAAATCATTGCGCATTATTTAACAAGCCATGAGGATAGAATCAATATTTCTATCTCAACTATGGATACTTCTAATAATGAGTTAGCTGATTCATTATAATATTATTAATTCTGCTCCAATTAGCGTTGATCCAAATTGGAATATGAATTATTTCATTACATTAATCTCGGAAGACGCATTATCACTTTATCAGTCATATTTGCCTTCTTCAGAAATAATTGCAAGGTTACATGCAAAAGTGGAAGGTAATATCCTGTACAACACGGAAGAATCTCATGCAAAATATCGATCAAGACTTTATCTTTACTTAAATATATGAATTTCATTCAAATCCATCCATTAGTAATTTCCAATATAATTGTATTTCTTAACGGTATAGTTGACTTTAAAACATATCGGAAACAAGCCTTATTAGTTGAAAAGTATTCTGGTCGAGGGCTACTCGTGGTAGAAAATTCGCGTCCTGATAACAGCAACACCAATGAGTGGTCAAAACTTATTTGAATGGAATATAATTGTTGAGGTAATTTGTGATTGTTTTTGGGTTGGAATTTGTACAGAAAATGGCCTTTTATGTAGATTACGCTTTTCGCAGTGACTCTAATTCTCGCCTGCGGTTACATATAATTTTTTTTGGTAGTTTTTTTTTAGTATCACGTGAATTATCAAGTAATGCAATAAATTCAATAAATTCATTATTAAGTGGATCAAAGGAAATCAATCGAAAAATTAGGGGCACGTGTTTAATGAAAATCACACAAGATAACAACTAAAGCTTTAAATTAATATGTCAGCCAAGTTTTTTGGAATGTATTGATACTAAATTTGTTGTTTCACATTGATTCTACTGCATTAAAATTTATTGGATTGTAATTTAAACGGAGAATTTAATTTTATATCAAAATAAAATTATCATATTGAACAAAAATTATTAAAAGTCTTTAATGCAAGAGTGGAATGTTTTTTATCCATTCAGCAGAGAATCGGTCAACAATTTATCAAATGACTATTGTAATTTCCAAAATCTGGAAATCATGTCGTTAAAAAAAATACATAACCGTATTATTTTTTTTTTCGTGATTCGTAAATAAAATCCGAATTATAATCATTATACCAAATATAAGATGATCGATAAATAGTGTTAACCAAAATTGGATAATTATTTATAATTAATGAATTTTGTATTAGTTTGTGATCCGGCTTCCTTAGCGCAGTAGGCAGCGCGTCAGTCTCATAATCTGAAGGTCGTGAGTTCGAACCTCACAGGGAGCAGATCATTCTTTTTTCGTTATTTTTCCAAATTTTTTTTTTTTCAAGTTCCCGGCGATATCGGTGAAAAAAAACCGTTTTCAACATTTTTAACTGCAGTTGGAGATTTGAATTGATGTATATATTTATTCAATCTCTGTCTGTAACAATTTGGCGTATGTTAATTTTTATTAATATATGTTTGAAGTTCAAAGAGGGATCGAGGTGTGGCGTAAAATTTTAAAACCTAACAATTAAACAATGTTATTTATTGTTTATCAATGGATGTATATCGAAGGGGGCTCCCTAAAAAAAAAAAAAAAAAAAAAAAAGAAGGAAATATTGTAATTCTCGTACAAAAGAGAAATTTTATTCATTATATTTAACTGTGCCACATTTTTTGTGTTTAACTTGTTTCGGAATGATTGACGTAAAATGAATCGTAAAAAGGAAATCATATCAAACCTCGTCATACAAGTAATTAAAGAAATTTCCAAAAAAGACGTTTAGTTTATTTTAAACCGTTAAAACAATTTTATGAGCTTATTTTTTTGGTTTTTCAAACACTTTAAAGTTTATAACATGATGTACAATCTGCATTTAAAAAATGTATTAAATGTGTTGAAGATCATATCGGGCTCGGAAAAAAGTTCGGAAATTGTATTGTCAACTTCCTATTATGAAGATTTCAAAATTGTCAAAATGTCAAAAAAGAAAAAATTTCCCCAAGTTTTGAAGATTTGTTTGTTAATATTAAAATGTTTCAGAAACTTTAAATTTATTGTTTCCAAGAAAAAAATTAAAATATCCTGAAACAAGCATGTGTCGATCTTTTTCCGATTATGTAAAAGTGACACGCGATCATCCTGACCCTAATTCCCTAATATTGTGTTGTCAAATCTATTTGCGCAGCAATTACCGAGAACAATACATATGCCGAATTTTCTTCAAAAAAAAAGAATAAAAAGAAGTGACTCCTCAATTTGGATTTTTGCTCTGCACTTACTTTTTTTTTCAAAGTCTGCTCTTATCAAATAAGTGTTAAAAAACCAATACTAAAGATCGATATTAAATTTGAATCCTAAAAAGAGGTTTTCGTTTAAAATACAAAGTCCCCCCATTCGTTCATCTCTCATCAATTCACGTCAATTGTAAAATCTTCTTTACAATTTAAGCAACCTTCTTTTCAAAAAATGTCAACCATCTCATCTCGATTTCAAAAAATTCAATTCA